TCTTGCGCATTTAGCTTCCGTTGAAGCGGGCCCTTATCAGCACTGGTCGGGTTTCAACCACCTGGCCTGTAACCAAATTATGCTCTTGGATGGACATCTTCTGATGGGCATCGATTGCTGGCCACTGGGATCCAGGTGGTTTGAGTATTGCAGAAACGACGGATGCAAAAAAAAAACCGGACAGTTTACCAGCATGAACTCCGAACGCCAGAGGTGCATAAGCTTTCTTTACATGCACTGTTTGGAGGCAAGCCATCTGCAACACTGCGCTACAAAATCAAACTCCAAACCCGGCCACTATGGGTGGTAAGCCAGGGGTCTGGGAGATTAAACAAGTATCTGGCACCTTGTTTCTTTCCTATTGGGGATTTGAGATGCTATTTGCCCAGAACCGCCATTGGTCCCCTGAATCATTGGATCATTGGCCGATGGAGCATCTTGCCCGCTCCCGTCAGCCCTCAATCAGTCCACAGAATAACTTTCTCAAGGGTACCCGCTTCACCTTGCCTTACAACAAGGGAAACCAATGGAAAGCCACCTGGTCACCCATGTCAAGTCTCCCCATTTTAACACATAACTGCTCCTCTCAAGAAAGAAAGTAGACCCCTCCTGGGCGACCTGCAAGGTCTCACCATGTCTGAAGCTCCAGGCGGTCTGTGCCTGTAAAAATAGCTAGGGAACCCTGTGTGGCATCACCGAAAAACCAGATCCAAACCAAACCGCCCAGAAAAAAGATCGCACACCAAATCAAGCACCAAAAGGAAGACATCACGAAGGAACCGCTGCGATCCCTTGGCGACCTGAAACCACTGATCCTTTTCCGCCGAGGCACGTGTGCGGTGCCAAGAAGCCCTGGCTTGGGCTGGCGAGCTGGGCAAATCTGTGTGCTTTGCCTGCATGTTGTTTGTTTTGCGGGGTAGGTCCTTATCAAGTAGGTTTCTGGCATGGTTTGAAGGGAAACTGAAAGAAAACCACTTCTCTCTTCTTCTTCTTCTTTTTTTGGGGGGGGGGGTTGTATCCCCTTGTCATGTTGGTTTGAAGGGAAGCTTGGTGAAAACGGGATCCATCCAAATCCCTTTCATTGCACATACACCATCTGGTAGCCAGGATCATCATATTTGGAGGCCCTCCTTTGGCATGGCACCTCCAGGGAAGCAAAAGGAAGGAAGTCCAACCCAAGTTTAGTTGCGCACATCCACTTTAGTTGCGCACATCCGCTTCTTGTTGGGTGACTTTGAAAGTAAAGCCATTTTTCCCAGGGGTTTTGAATGGAGCGAGCGGTGTCCCAAACCTCCGGCGGCTTCCGGAAGCCGCCAGCAAGTAGGAGGAGAACGGACATGGCGAAAGCCTCGAAACGCGAATGAATCGATCAGCTCGTCTGGAAAGGGCCATTGATGGTTTGGAGTGGTTGCAGTGAACCTCATGGTTGGTTGGTTGGTGGGTTGGGTTGGGTTGGGTTGGGCTGGGTTGGGTTGGGCTGGGTTGGGCTGGGTTGGGTTGGGTTGGGTTGGGTTGGGTTGGGGGTTGGGTTGGGTTGGGTTGGGTTGGGCTGGGTTGGGCTGGGTTGGGTTGGGTTGGGCTGGGTTGGGTTGGGTTGGGTTGGGCTGGGTTGGGTTGGGCTGGGTTGGGCTGGGTTGGGTTGGGTTGGGTTGGGTTGGGTTGGGCTGGGTTGGGCTGGGTTGGGCTGGGTTGGGCTGGATGGGCGCACCAGCCACGAAGCTTTCGCCAGCATCTAGCCTGGCAGCCAGCAATCCACAGGCGCCAGCGACATAGCCAAGGACACCCCGCCTTCCGCGCATTGAGATCACATGCCCTATCTGCTCCTTTAACTTGAGCCTGATTGGGGCGCAGACCTTGTGTCGCTGCATGCACTTGCTTGGGAGCCTGCAAACAAGGGAGCAAAGGCAACCACAGTGTTCAGGCACCTATAGCATCTGTTGCGGATGCACGGCATGCTTTCCGCAGCTCCAAAATCAGGACCCAAGGACTCAGCACCCCCATCTATCTTGACCACTTGGGCCACTGGTTGGGTGTTCGACACCTGCAAACCCTTTCCGCATGCTTCCCAGTTGCGGCAACCCCATTCCCCACCGTCGCCTCGGGGCTCGCGGTGTCCACACTCTGCGGGCTGTTGCACACATTCCAAGTGAATTACAAAGACGCTGGCCAAAGAACAAAAGCTGGGACCTTTTGGGACAAACGCAGGTCTCATTTAACATGCCACGTCAAGGTCAAGGGCCTTTTGGACACTTTAGGGAGCCTAGGGTCAGCTTGAGCCGATAAGCCGCAGGTTGGTTCTGCACTCTTGAGGGTTGGGCTGGGTTGGGTTGGGTTGGGTTGGGTTGGGTTGGGTTGGGCTGGGTTGGGCTGGGTTGGGTTGGGTTGGGTTGGGTTGGGTTGGGTTGGGTTGGGTTGGGCTGGGTTGGGTTGGGTTGGGCTGGGTTGGGTTGGGTTGGGTTGGGTTGGGCTGGGTTGGGCTGGGTTGGGTTGGGTTGGGTTGGGTTGGGTTGGGTTGGGCTGGGTTGGGCTGGGTTGGGTTGGGTTGGTTGGGTTGGAATGGGGTTGGGCTAGGTTAAGTTGGTGGGTTGGGATTGGGTGGGGTTGGGTTGATTGGGCTGGGCTGGGCTGGGTTGGGTTGAGTTGGATTAGTTTGGGTTGGGGCTGCAGTTGGTTTGGGCAAACTAGGTTGGGCTGGGTTGGATTAGGTTGGGTTGGGCTGGGTTGGGCTGGGTTGGGTTGGGTTGGGTTGGGTTGGGCGGTTGGGTTGGGTTGGGTTGGGTTGGGCTGGGTTGGTTGGTGGGTTGGGTTGGGTTGGGTTGGGTTGGGTTGGTTTGGGCTGGGTTGGGCTGGGTTGGGTTGGGTTGGGTTGGGTTGGGTTGGGCTGGGTTGGGCTGGGTTGGGTTGGGTTGGGCTGGGTTGGGTTGGGTTGGGTTGGGCTGGGTTGGGTTGGGCTGGGTTGGGCTGGGTTGGGTTGGGTTGGGTTGGGCTGGGTTGGGCTGGGTTGGGTTGGGTTGGGTTGGGTTGGGCTGGGTTGGGCTGGGTTGGGTTGGGTTGGGTTGGGCTGGGTTGGACTGGGTTGGGTTGGGTTGGGGGGTTGGGCTGGGTTGGGTTGGGTTGGGCTGGGTTGGGTTGGGTTGGGTTGGGTTGGGTTGGGTTGGGCTGGGTTGGGTTGGGTTGGGTTGGGTTGGGTTGGGCTGGGTTGGGCTGGGTTGGGTTGTTGGGTTGGGTTGGGTTGGGTTGGGTTAGGTTGGGCTGGGTTGGAGTTGGGTTGGGTTGGGTTGGGCTGGGTTGGGTTGGGTTGGGTTGGGGGGTTGGGCTGGGTTGGGTTGGGTTGGGTTGGGTTGGGTTGGGTTGGGTTGGGTTGGGTTGGGTTGGGCTGGGTTGGGTTGGGTTGGGCTGGGTTGGGTTGGGTTGGGTTGGGTTGGGCTGGGTTGGGCTGGGTTGGGTTGGGTTGGGTTGGGTTGGGTTGGGTTGGGTTGGGTTGGGCTGGGTTGGGTTGGGTTGGGCTGGGTTGGGTTGGGTTGGGTTGGGTTGGGCTGGGTTGGGCTGGGTTGGGTTGGGTTGGGTTGGGTTGGGTTGGGTTGGGTTGGGTTGGGCTGGGTTGGGTTGGGTTGGGCTGGGTTGGGTTGGGTTGGGTTGGGTTGGGCTGGGTTGGGCTGGGTTGGGTTGGGTTGGGTTGGGTTGGGTTGGGTTGGGTTGGGTTGGGCTGGGTTGGGTTGGGTTGGGCTGGGTTGGGTTGGGTTGGGTTGGGTTGGGCTGGGTTGGGCTGGGTTGGGTTGGGTTGGGTTGGGTTGGGTTGGGTTGGGTTGGGTTGGGCTGGGTTGGGTTGGGTTGGGCTGGGTTGGGTTGGGTTGGGTTGGGTTGGGCTGGGTTGGGCTGGGTTGGGTTGGGTTGGGTTGGGTTGGGTTGGGTTGGGTTGGGTTGGGCTGGGCTGGGTTGGGTTGGATCGTTCGTGTTCGTCTGTTGGTTCATGGTTCATTGGGTCGTTTGCTCGTTTGTTCGTTGGTTTGTTGGCTTGTTGACTCGTTGGTGCGTTGGTTCTTTGGTTCGTTGGTTCATTCGTTGGTTTGTTGATTCGTCGGTTCGTTGGTTCCTTAGTTCGTTGGTTCATTTGTTTGTTCGTTGGTTCGTTGGCTGGTTGGTTGGTCGCTGGGTCGGCGGGTGGGTTGGGGCCGCCACTCAAGGGCAAAGTTGCAAGACCAAAAGCCAAGCCCTTTCAAGTTGGGCCCTTTTGCAACCATGCAAAGAGCACAAAGGGACTTGAAAAGGGGAAGCGCCCTTTAATTTCTCTTTTGCGATCTAAGTTACAACCTCTTTGCGGAAGAACCGCCCAACGGGCGAAATGCCTTTGGCCAGTGGAGTGTCATCCCTTCCACCCATCCGAGCCAAGGCGCCAAGTAGCTCGATGCAACGGCTTCAGAACTTGAGCCAAACTGCTGGTTCCTGTCGCACAGGCTGGGACTTTGTTGCAACTAAGAGTCAAAAGGGCACTTCAAAAGGCGCCTGAAATTCGGAAAGGGAGCGCCTCGAAATCCGGATTCCCTTTTTGGCCTGGCCCCAGAGAGAAGGAATCCGCTTTTCGGGCCCCATTGCCCGCCAAGCACCTCGAAATCCGGATTCCCTTTTTGGTCTGGCCCCGGAGAAAGGGAATCCGCTTTTCGGGCCCCATTGCCCGCCAGCACCTCGAAATCCGGATTCCCTTTTTGGTCTGGCCCCAGAGAGAGGGAATCCGCTTTTCGGGCCCCATTGCCCGCCAGCACCTCGAAATCCAAGTTGGATGGTTGCAATGAAAGTGGCCAAACCGCATTAGCGTTGCCGCAAGGGGCGCGCCCAAAGCTTTCCCACCACCTTAGTTCTTGCAACCCCCCAAAACCTCCAAAAAGCTCCCCAGCTTCTTCCCCTCCCCCCTCCCCCCCCCCTCCCCCCCCCTCCGCCACCTTCCCTCATCTCCCCCACCTCTCCCACCTCCCCTGGCGCTTTCTCTCCGCTTCCGCTTCCGCCAGCTTTCTCCGCCCACACGGCGCCCTCGTCCAGCACCCGGCACAGCCTCCGCCCGCACCGCTCCTGGCCCAAAGCCTCGGATCCGGCGCCTTCGGTTCAGCGGAAATGGGGGGTGTGGAGCCGGGGGGTCGGCAAAACAGAATACAAAGATTAAACTCTGAAAGAAAAGAAAGAACCCTCCCCCTTCAGTATGCTGGAACTGAAGAATTGTGGGCGAATTATTCTGTGTGGAAAGGAGCGATCTGAACCAAGGCCACACGCATTCCTCCGGTTCTCCTCGCTTGAATGTGCCAGAAAGGGGGTCTTCACCAACCAAATGTCCACCCTGGTGGCTTGGTGGCGGAGCCACCCTGGCCGATGTTGCCCGCACGAATTGGGCCGCCTTGAGGCCGGGACATTCACGTAGTGATTCACCCGCAGGTCAGTCATCCTTGGGTGTTTGGCACTCCCACCTCTCCCACTTCTCTAATCATCCCTGAGGCTTGACACCGCCAGTAATCGACAGTGTGCCTCACTTTGAGATACTTTGAGATTGGAAACCAACTAAGTGATTGCTGTTCTCCAGGCAGATTGGCAGAATGTCCTTTCGTGGTCTTCCAACAAGCCACAACTCTCCCCAAAGTTGCGTTCCCCAGAGTGAGACCCTACTTTGGCAGCAAAGGGTCGGCTCGCAGAATTTTGGACCCCGTCCAAACGATCCGGAGTGGAACAACTCGAACAGGTGCCCTCAAGACAAAGCATGTACCGGGCCATAATCGATCATCTCCAAGGCTGTGGGGCACCGTCCTCGTAGCATCGGAACTCTTACGGTGGGACCATCGATTTTTGGATGGGACGAAGCCCCACGGAAAAGCATCTCCGTTTCAACGAGCCGCACATCCGCGCGCACCACCCGCAGGTTCTCCCCAGGCCGGGGCCTGAAGAACGCGGGTGTCCGATTCAGCGACATGAAAAGACATGATCGGCACCGCCCCCCCCCAGGTATGACAAGGGTCTATGTTGCAATCGTTATTGACTGAGTATTGCAAAGGGGGCTTGAGCTTGCAAAATTGACTCTGGACTGCCTTTCTCCCCCTCCATTCAGGGCGGTCATGGGGTGAGCTGATTTGCGACGACCTCTGTGCAAATAGTGACGAGCAGTTTCTCGGCCAAATCGGCCAAACATCTGCCAAAAATCTGCCTAAATTTCACTGATACTGTGCCAGCAAAGGGCATACACCTTAAACGAACATAGCAGATGTCTGAAACCAACACTTAGCAGATTGAGCCTAAATATTCACAGGCAAGCCCTTTTCTATCTGAATTGTCATAAACAAAAAGTGGGCACATAGGCACACATCCGACTTGATCCTCTCTGCTTGCTCGGTGCATTGATCCTTAAGTGGAGAATGCTGAGTGGCAGAAAGACTGGACCCCCAAAACAAAGACCCCCTTTTGGCACACTTTTGGGCCCAATTCAACCCATATCTGTATGTCCGAGGGGTCTCATTTTTCCCGGCGCCTGGCCGGGTGCACGCCCGCTTGCGCCACGTTATCCACGTTCACAATCACTGTATGCGCCACCTGGCGTCTCCCGAAAAGCTGGGGGGGAAATGGGGAGGGGGGCAGCAAAGCTGCCACGGGTGTCACAGGCCATGGAAACAGAGACAGTCACCAAAGCAACATGGTAAGAACTTCTGGGGAAACCAGAAACAGCATGATGGTGAAAATTTGAAGAATCACGTCAGGTTCCCGGCTTGCATGGGCAATGCGCTCCATTCCCAGCACGGGTATTTCCACAAGCATCACAAGATGCAAGTCTCTCCAGTTTGGATGGCATGAATAACAGAACGCCATCAGTTCTGTAGACGATTTCTGCCATCGCTATCAAAAAAGCAAAAAGCATGAACCCAACATGTCCCAACAGTACCTCTGGTTCTCCCTGCTACATGGCTTCCCAGTTCAACCCAAGCTGCGCGTAGACCTACAGTGGCCACAGGACAAAAAGGGACGGGGGTACCCTCTTTGTCGAGCAGCTGGCTTTAAGGGGAAACCCCCTCCAGGAGCTTTGGGGTAAACATTAGCATCGACAAAGCAGTGCGTCAGGCCTGTCCATAGGCACTTGCTTGATTCAGTAGCAGCTGTTCGGAAACTGGTCTTATGTTATTCACCTGGTGCCGGTGTTTGTCCGCAGGAAACGGGATTTCCCACTCTGAATGGATGGTGGTTATCTATGGTGGTGTCTGGGCACCGCGTGCCGGTCACTAGACTTCACCCAAATATTTCCGTCCGAGAGGCAGACTCTGCCGCGTCGCTGCCCTCCTCGCGGAACCTGGCAAGGGAATGACGCCAAATGCGCAACTGGGGGAGACTACCCCTCGTTTTTCTTGAAGTCCTTGCTCAATCTTCCAGTTACTACTCATCTTGTTTCTTGAAATTCGGAGGGTCTCCATTCTGGCCATCGGGGGAAGCTTGCTATGGGATTGCCCTGCTTTGGACCACACCATTCGAGTACCAGAGGGCACAAATTTCGGTGCGCTGGTCGGCTTTGTCATTAGCGCTCTGGGTTCTGGTTCCCCGGCCCTGCCTTGCCAAAATGAGCGATTTCTCTTTGAAGCAACCCCAAAACGGATCAAGGGTAGAGAGGTCATTCATTTTGCATATATTCATGTCAATTTGTCACTTTCAGCCGCGCAGGAGGCGACAGCCATCTCCCTGGCCCGCAGCTCCCCCCACCTCCCCCACCTCCCCCACCTCTCCCACCACTTCCCCCCCCAGCGCCGCGCCGGAACCGGCCGGGCATGGTGCGGGCGGAAGGCTCCGCCGCGCCGCCGAAGAGAAGCTGCCGCAGCTCCACGTGGGAGATCCGGGCCCGCTCCTGGGATGTCTTCAAACATTTTCTGGGGAGCCCTCCGAACCGGCGGTGTTTTCTTTTCCCGGATAACACCTCACAAAACACCAAGGAAAGCGGCGCAGAAAGCTCTATTCAGCTCTCTTGGCAGCCTCCCCCACTTACCAAACTGCAAACCATTGCCCCCCCCCCAAAAAAAAACCAAAACAGAACCAACCCCCACCCATTGCAGAAAACCAAAGCAAACAAACAAACACTGGGCCCCTCCAGTCCAGAAGGCCGGACCCATTCCCCCGTTCTCCTCCTCCAGCGGCTCAAGAAACTGCAGCAGCGACCCCGGGCCCGGCGCAGATGGCACATGAAGAAACTCCTCGGTCGAGGGGAGTTAAGTCATTCCTTTGCGGGACGGAGCGGGTGGAAGGTTCAGATCAAGTTGGTCCTCTGATTGATTTCAACGTCGGGCTAAACCAAATGATCGTGCTAATCAAAAAGTCTCCTGAGTCTTCTAAAGAAAATTGACTTCTCGGGAAAATTCAGTGAAATAATCGGCACTTAAGACTCCGGGCCGAAGTGACAAGCCAAATTGGCGGACCTCTCCGCAGTTGGATGTTGGTCACCTGCTTGCAGTCTCCACTCATGTAACGCCAATGACCAAACTAGGATCCATAGAAGGATCCATTTAGGGCGCCAGAACCGCCAAGGAAGAGAGCCCTCATGATTCATCGGGTGGACAATTCGCAAAACTCAATGACCCCCATCATAACTTGTCGCCAAGGCGACCGTGTGGATTTTTGCTAGTCGGCACTTCGATGGCACTCACTTCGGACAACGAAATTTCCCCAAGGTGTGAAGCCTCCTCTCAGCCGTGGGGTTTTGAAACAAGCAAGACCAGGGGGCTGGGCGAAAGAGACCCTATGACTCAGAATTTGTCAATCCGTAAAGGCCCAAAAAGACAGTGCAGCCCAAACTTCACCAGCTATTCACATCGCAAAGAAACTGACTATGGTTCAATCGAGCGCGATGGGTTGGAATCACATTCCTAGCCGCGGCTCTGACCGTCGGAGCTCCCATGTGCAACCCAAGGCTCGTCCGGCGAGTGCAGCACTACTGCCCAGTCCGCAACGCCACGGTAGCCTTGGACAAATCCCACAAAGATCCATCCGCCTGTCATCCCTTGGCGGCTAAACTCCGTGGGCAATTTAGGAGGCACTCAGGTCACCACTTTGGCATGAAATGATGGGGATGTCCTATGCCAGGGGCACCTAGGAGAAGATGTTTCAAGTAGATGCCAAGCCAAACATGCAATGGTTGGACAAGACTTCCATGTAGAGCGCAAAGGGAAGTTCTGGAACGCCGAATGGCCGGCTCAAAATGGTATGAGCTCGTCTCCTTTCGCTTACTTACTCTAGTTAAGATGGGTCACGTTCTCTCAGCTGTTGCTTGTTTCATGATGTGTTTGCCAAATCGGTTGTGAAAGAAGTTGTTCAGACCACGAAGGGACGGGGAAGATAGAACCATGCATGGCACCTTGAACACGCAGAGCAATCGTACTCCCGCTGACTGAACGTCTAAAACCCTTGTCAACACAAGGTTCACTACCGCCTGTCTCCACTGCAAGTACGACATCCTCTTGGTTGTCAGCTCAAGTGGTGTGACAAACCCCCCCCCACATGACAACGCACCGATTCAAAGCCTGACTTTTAGCACGGCCGCTGCCCACAGCCCACCTCGCTTGAGGTGTTTAATTCCGTAAGTACCTGTGGGGTTCATGGGCGTTTGGTTGGAATCCTTGAAAAAGGCCCAGGGCATAGGCGCGCTCGGCGCTCTGGGCCCACAGGAGTTTATGTTTATCCGCCTTGTTCCCCTCTACTAAAACCAACTTGCTGTCAACCGCGCTTCCCGCAACCCGGGCTGGGTGTGAATGGGCCTCACACTGCACACCGCAGCCAATTGCCAAGTGGCGCCACAGGCAGTGGTTCCTCAGCTCCCACCCACCCCCTGTGGTGCAAAGACCAAAAATCCAGGTCTGGTGAGAAAAAGCAACACAACGCCACGCCGAACACACATGAGCAGAGCGAAGCTGAAGCATCTCTTGAGCCAAGTGAGCAAGCAAACTCGAAACAAAAAAACACATAAAACACCAAAGCCAACCAAGCGACACCAAGGCCAACCAAGAAACATCCAGAAAATCGAAGTATACCAAGGCGAACCAAGGAGCATCAAAACCAACCAAGGCATACAAACATATAAACAAATAAGAAAAGCCAAGACAGATAACCGACCAACCTTGGGGCTTCCAAAGGCCAACCCATAAGAAAAGGTCAGGAACACCCACAGACCCCCCCCCCCCCCCGCGCTCCGACTCCGAGGCTCTCCGCTTCCACCTCAAAGAGCAGCGGCCGCCAGTTCTCCGCGCCAACTGAACCGCCGGGTCAAATGGCTGTGGGTCAAAAATAGGCTAGCCCAAAAAAATGGCACCCTGGTAAATGGAAACAATGACTAAAACCTGTGGTCCCCTGGTGGTTTAATTTGGACAATCCAAGCCATCAAGGGGCGACCTGATGGGTCCGAAGGAACTCACGGCCTCCACAACAGCTTGCGAATTTGCCAAGTCTTGCTGAAAGCTTCAAAGTTTGGGAGAGGTGAGGTCACACATCCCTCGCAGCGAAGAAACTCAAGTGTCCAATGGTCTGGCTGTGAATTGCCAAGGCGGCGTTTGCAAGCTCTGCACCCCAGGCTTCCGAACGCAACGACCCCCAGAACGTGAATCACACAAGAGTTGAAAGCTCAAAAAGCCGGCGTCAAACTCCACTCCCCGCCTGCAAATGGGGAAGGAAAACCAAAAAGACGCCAACCATTATAGGCAGGGGGGCTGTTTCCCCCTTGTAGGGGGGGGGGGGCTACTTCCTGGTTTAGGATCGTCCCATTCCTTTCCCACGGCGAGCTCCAGGCCATCCACGGGCCTGGCGCGTGGGCCGCGCCGAAGCGCTGCGGCCAGTGGTCCAAGTACTCGAACTGGCGACATGGCTTGCGCCCCCCCAAAATCGCAGATTGACTCTCGCCCCGGCGGAGCGAGCGCCTTGTTTGTCTGGTCCCTCGGCTGCAAATTTCCACTCGCGAGCTGTGGTTGAAAAGAGCAGTGTCCCCTCTTTCTTCTTCCCCTCTATCTCCCTCTCTTGCTTTGGGGTCAAGGATGCCAAGCACATCCAAATCACACGCGCAATCGACACTCTGGGCTCGGCAACTTGAGGGTCAGGACCATCTGCTCACATTTGCGGGCACCCACTTTGGCTGTTCGGAAAATCCCAAAGGGGACAGGCAAGTGTTGACTCATCACACTTCCGCTTCGCTCGTCGCGGCTTTCAAAGGGACCAAATCCTCTCGTAACTCCTGGGAAAAATGAAGGATTGCCACGTTGGAAACTGACTTTGGTGACCCAAGAGGAAAGGATTGCATTTGCCATTGAGTTCTTCGTGCAACCGGTGCCAACAAAACAGGTTGTGGCCCCCCCTATCGTTTGGCAAAAAATGGATGGCACTGGATGAGTAGAGCCAAACTGCAGCCGGTGCCTTTGAACCGCCAAACTCGCGGCACAACCGCCTCCGTGCTGCTTCTTTCCCGGTAGCGCTCGAGGGGGTCCCGCAGCGTGCCGTCGGCGTCGAAGATGGTGAAATGCTCCACGCCCAGCAGAGCGTGGTAGTCCTAAAGTACTGGGTCCACACACATTGCCGGACATCACCAGAATCATAATCAAAACCCGGTACTAACATGGTCGACCCAGAACCATGTAAAGAATTTGGAAGGCGGCCGCAGAAATTTATGGCAAGGATTGTCCCTTACTAGCCTTCATCTACCCAAGTTTGATTGTGGCTCAAGGGGCTCTCGAGCCTTACCCCAAGACTGGCTGCCGAAACGCCAAGAAGTCCGCCAGAAGGCCAGGCGCCAGCTGCTCCATCTTGGCGAAGCTGTGGAGCGGTTGGGTGCAGGCCTCGGGCGGGGAAGCAGAGGATGCTATCTGCGGGACGTTTCTGAGTTCAACGGCTATGGCTACGAATGTATAGAGGTAGATTGGTTAGGTCGCTTGGCAGGCATGCGTGTAGGATACGTGTACATTTACAAATACATACATATATATATATATATACATGTGTACACACATCTGCATTTACGTAGACTGATGTTACCGGCGTGCTTAGTCATCCCGTCCATCTTCAGGCTGCGCACACTCTGTTGGTTGCTATGCTGTTTCTCGGGGAGGCTGCCCACTCTTGGGAGAGGGCGGCCGGGCGGTGTGACTCTTCAAAAACCGGCCGTGGTGTGGTTTGGGACCCCAGAAACAAATCCCACACAACGCTCTACACCCAGAGCTCACAGAGGTCTTGGTTTCCATTGTGTATGCATCTTGCGTGAGGTGGCTGAGACAACATGTGCGCTCCTCTCCGCCCTGGTAGAAGTGAAATTGTGAGTGCCCTGCCGCCCAGAGCCTGTTGACGTGAAAGTGGCGAATGACATGAGCGAACATCACCACCCCGCCCTCCCCGAGTTGCGAACGCTGCATGCAAGCGTTCCCATCCGCCAACCCCTCACAACTGCACACATGCAAATAAATCCAATAAACTCCCTGAAAGCCAGCCAGTTGTCTAGTTCACCAACTAACATGTTGTTTTTTTCAAAAACAAGTGTCGTGTTGTTTTCAACGTCCAAACGCCGACAGAGGCGTCGTTTCCCGCGTGCCAATGCGCCGCGAGCCGGAAGCGCCGAGTCGGCCGTGGGCAGAGCGTCACTCGGGCGGCCCAGGCGCCCGTGGAGACCGCGGGCCTCGCGCTGGGTTTGTGGTTGGTGTCGCGCTGGTGAATGGTTTTGCTATGCCTCGGTCAGGGAACGTGGTTGGCTTGTGGTTTATGGCTTATGGCTTATGGCTTATGGTCTATGGCTTCTGGTTGGCTTGTGGATGGTTTATGGTTGGTTTATGGTTGGTTTATGGTTGGTTCAGGGTTGAGGGTAGGTGTTTGGTAGGGCGGGCTTGGGGCCGGGCTTAGGGGGAGCGACCAGCGGCTCCAAGCTAACCTCAGACGATTTCGGGTAAGCAATAACTAGGTTATGGGCAAAGGGTTCCAAGGGCCCAGGTTTTGGCCATGAGTGGCCCTTCGAAAGAGAGGCACCAACTCGGGGACGAAGTGCAACAAGATCTTAAAAAATCGGTCACAATCAAAACCTGGTATCAACAAAGCTCTGATATCCGCAACTCCCTGACTACACTTACCTTGATCGTGACTCAAATGCCCCCGCCCGACCACAGTTTTGCCTATGTGTTGCCGCGGTTTGTTTCATGGGGCAACCAAGTGAGGATAAGAAGCAAAAACAGTGGTACAAAACAGTTCGAGGGATCTCTTGAGACGTGGTCTGCGTATTTACGAAAACAAGCCATCTGCAGGGAATAGGGAACAAGGAAGTGGCCCATCCTTCCAGCATTCACCACAATCCCCACTTCAAGTTTTTGGCCCGGTGGTTTTCCCTTCAAGGCACTCGAGGTGCGATGCCAGGGTGTCGCCCAACGGGATGTCACCTGCGAAAAGGCAGAGCTCGTTTTAGATGTTGCCCATGCAGGTGAACGAACATCTGGAAATGAAGGAAAATGCGTGGAAATGAATGACATGAAGTGATGCCAGGGGGGAAAAGATGGAGGGGGGGAAAAGATCTTTGTGGGGGGAAAGGGTGGGAAAAAATCTTAGGGGGGAAAGGTGGGGAAAGATCTTAGGAGGGGAAAGGGGGGGAAAAGATCTTAGGAGGGGAAAGGGGGGGAAAAGATCTTTGGGGGGGAAGGGGGGGAACTATGTTATAAGGGGGGGAAGGGGGGAAAAGATTTTAGGAAGGGGGGAAAAGATCTTTGGGGGGGGAGACAATGTTCGGGGGTGAAGGGGGGGTGAAATATTGTAAGAGGGGGGGAAGGGTGGGGGAAAGAGCTTAGAGGGGAAGGGGGGAAAGCGGGGGCAAAGATCTTGGGGGGGGAGCAAAGATCTTAGAGCGGAAATGGGGGGGGGGGGGGGAGGGAGAAGATCTTAGAGGGGGAAAGGTGTAGGGAGGAAAAGGGAGAAAAGGCCTTAGGGGGGAAAGGGGGGGAAAAGATCTTAGGGAGGAAAAGGGAGAAGATCTCAGGGGGGGGCGGGGGGGAAAAGGGGGAAGTGCCTTAGGGGGGAAAGGGGGGAAAGGATCTCAACAGGGAAAGGGGGGAAACGATATTAGGGAGGAACAGGGAGAAGATCTCAGGGATGGAAAGTGCCTTAGGGGGCAAAGGGGGGAAAGGATCTCAACACGGAAAGGGGGGAAAAGATCTTAGGGAGCAAAAAAGGGGAGAAGATCTCAGAGGGGGACGGGGGGAAAAGATCGGGGGAAAGGGGGGCAAGGGGACAATTCCAAAGGGACGCAAATAACAGAGCAGGCCTGTCATGTCGATGGCCTGAGCCGAAGGCGTTAAAATACCTGAAGCTTAGGCGATCCCTCCATTGCCGAACAGCGATGCGTGAGGTGGAGGTGCTAACAATTGCCAGAATCTCGGCGCCAAATTACTCCCACAAAGCGATGGGAGGAAGAGGATGCGTGACCCACCCCAAGTCAGCTACCAAATTAGGAACAGGTGTCAGGCAATTCTTTGTTTATTCAACGCTAGTTGATCTAGTTCTTCCCCAAACACAACCCAATTTACCTCAAGCAGGATATATACAGGAGATATATCTATATATATATATATGCATATATGTATATATATATATATATATGTGTTACTTAGATATATTATAAGTAGACGCGCACCAACAAGAATCGCCGCCGCGGCTGGCTACGGGACGGCAGCCAGGCGGCAGTACAGGATGGCATCGTAGCCGAAGAATGACGTGAGCCGAGCATCCTGGCTTGCAACGGCTCTTCCCAAAATCCCCGCCCTTTCTCATGAAATCAAGGAGATTCTCCGCCATGGCATAGTTTGACGATCAAAACATGTCTCGTCTTGCCCTCCTGCAATTTTCAGAGTTGTCTCCAGCTTCCCATGTCTGCCTGCGCATGGTTGATGGTTGACAAGTACGTAAACAAGTGTCAGACGTGCCGGAGCTCGCTGCTAGAGCCCACCAAAGAACCAAAGAAGCGGTCTGGATTTCTTGGCCAGTCCACAGAATAGTCCCAAGCAACTCTCACAGCAACAGTATGTTGACATTGACTTCAGATTGCAACTCTTGTCCAGTACAAATCTTGAGACCTACCAAAGTCACATCCCTTTCCAACTGCAACTCGAAATTACAAATGTCTGACGACAGGAGACCGAGCATCTGGACGTCTGCACGATAGGTGGCTCACGTTGTACCATCCGTATCGACACCCGGGCTTGAAAAAATGGCTCTGGTTCAGGGCACAGAAAGCAAAACCACTCCACCTTTGGGTTTCTGAAAGGGGCCCGCCTCAGTGTGGCCATCCAACGTGCATCGCCACTTCTTCATGAGGCCCAGCGGCAACGTCAGAGCCTAGGCACTACGTTTGAGATTGGTCAGGGAAACCAACAGGAAACTACCTCTCTGGGAGTCCTTGACACATAACCATGCTCCCTCTTTAGTGAAGCCTGTCAAAACGGAATCTCACTACCAACTGCCCAAAACGTGGTACGATCGTGGGCCCTGGGTTTGGTCGAAGTCACAAACTCGCGTTGTTTCAGTTGCTTTTCTCAGGACTTGGGGACTGACCTTCTGCCAGTTGTGCCGGGCTCCGTCTCAAGTTCCGCAGAGCCGATGGGCTCCCTACATTTTTAGTTTTTTGGCCGGCTGAGATGAAGAATCCAGCCGGGGCGTTGTCCGTTCTGTGGCAAACCAGAGAACCCGGCCCTGCTTCAGGGCCCTGAAAAATGCTTCTTTCTCTCTTTTTGTTTGGATCAGCCGCGCTTGCAGCCTACTTGGCCCTGGGCATCCCACAATTGGGTCAGCACTGGCTTTCAAGTTGACTCCGCAATTCCAAAGCCCCTGTCCAAGAGCGGCAACGGCGATCTGGCGGTGTCCCGATCATGGTAGTCTCCTCCAGCTACTCTGCAAATGAAATGTCCCGCAACACCAGGCATCAATAGTCAAGCAGGCCTTCTCAAATGGGAAATCTCAATTGGGCCTTTTGCCTGACATCAAAACATCCCTTACATGAGAAATCGTCACGTCCACCATTCAGCCTGCAGGAAGCATCAACATCCACAAATTAATCAAGCAGCCGAAAAGAAAAAACATCCAGGCCCGGCCTGCGCGTAGTATTTCCGATCCCGCGCCAGGTGCCCATACACGGTGAGCCGCGCAGCGCCATCCAAGGTGGACAGGAAATGCAGCACCTCCAGCCGCAGCCAGGGTCTGCCCTCCGCGTCCTCCTCGTCATCCCGGTGAACGGATGTGGTATGTTCATCGTATGCAGAGCCCGCTCAGTTAGGCAACTTTCAAGCTCAACCCATACAAAACAAGTTGTTCTTCCAACAAGCTATCGTTTTACGCCAAGTACCTCACTTGAGGCACTTCCACTCCTGTCTAACAAGTCATCATAGAAAACTGCCCGGCGATGCCTCAGGATTCTCCCCCCAAAAAAAACAAACCAAATGAGGGTTCAGCTCAAACAAATAAGTCGCATTGCAACTCCTGCAGGTAGGCACTAGCACCGTGCACGTGCAGAGCCACTGTATCATCCAGCTGCTGCGACACCAAGTCGCACAGCGTGTGGCTGAGTCCTGAGGAAATCGCAAGCCAACCCCCACCACATGGCAGCCTGATGCAACGAATTTTGCTTTTGCGTTCAGAGTAGCCACACCCCGGTTGAGAGGCTGAGATTTTAGGGTGCCATCGTTGTGCCTAGTGATTGAACCTACACCTTAGTTTGCACCTCATATCTTCGAGCACACTGCTCCAACTGTTCCCCCCCAACCAAGCAACCAAGCAAACTAGCAACCACGCAACCAAGCAACCCAACAGACAAACAAACAGGCAAACAAACAGACAGACACACAGACAGACAAAGAAAGAAAGAAAGAAAGAAAGAAAGAAAGAAAGAAAGCAAGCAAGCAAGCAAGAAAGAAAGAAAGAAAGAAAGAAACAAACAACCAACCAACAGCAAACAAGCAAACAACAAAGCCTAAAACACAAAACCAGCAAGCAAACGACTAAGCAACCCAACACGCACAAACAAACAAACAAACAAACAAACAAACAAACAAACGGACTGACAAGCCAGCAACCAGGCAAACGACCAAGCAACTAAAGAAACAAATAAACAAACAAGCAACCAAGCAACCAACCAACCAAATAAGCAAACAAACGAACGAACGAACAAACAAAACAAACAAGCAAGCAAGCAAGCAAACGACAAGCAAGCAAGCAAGCAAGTAAGCAAACGACCAAGCAACCAAACAAACCAAGCAATCAAGCAACCAAGCAACCAAACAAACAAACAAACAAACAAACAAAACAAACAAGCAACCAAGCAACAAAGCAACAAAGCAACCAAGCAACCAAGCAACAAAGCAACCAAGCAACCAAGCAACCAAGCAACCAAGCAACAAAGCAACCAAGCAACCAAGCAACCAAGCAACTAAGCAACCAAGCAACCAAGCAACCAAGCAAGCACGAACCCGAGGGGGTCCGTCATTTTGAGAGATGCCCATGTTGCGCCCCCAAAGAAAACGCCCCAGCTCAAACCGGGCGAAGCGGCGCCGCTCAGTGCCGCCTAAGAAGATGGGCCTCGGCATGGGCACCAGGAGCTGGGTGCCCGGGAGCGGTTTATCACAACGGGGGGATATTTGAAACATGAGTGGTGGTGAGGTTGCTGATGGTGAAGCAATGGCTTCACAACGTGGCAAACTGAGTACTCTTCCTTTACTGGCAATGTGACCCGCAACTCTCAAGGAAGCCTCGACGACATGTCAAGCGCTGATAGCTCTTACTTCCAAACTTCTGCGAGGTCCACTTCGCACCGCGTGAATAACATCCGCTAGCAACTTCCGAAGGCCTCAAGTGATCCTTGGGCTCAAGTTGGGTGAAAGCTCGAGAGGGCTGGGGTGGCGTCATAATTCGTGAACCACTAACCGAAGCGCCAACCTGAACCACATACTAGGGCGAATTCAGCCGAACCAAAGCTGCACATTGCAGAGTGGGAAACGTCCAACATCTTCCCCAGAACGGGTGATGGGCCTATAGGCATATCGCGGTCCTTTCGGCAAAACTTAGAAGCAAACGAGCAAATAGACAAACAGGCAGACAGACAGACAGACACACAGACGGACGGACGGACGGACGGACGGACGGACAGACAGACACAGACAGACAGACAGACGGACGGACGGACAGACAGACAGACACAGACAGACAGACGGACAGACAGACAGGACAACTGACAGACAGACAGACAGACAGACAGACAGACAGACAGACAGACAGACAGACAGACAGACAGACAGACAGACAGACAGACAGACAGACAGACAGACAGACAGACAGACAGACAGACAGACAGACAGACAGACAGACAGACAAACAAACAAGCAAACAAGCAAACAAGCAAACAAGCAAACAAGCAAGCAAGCAAGCAAGCAAGCAAGCAAACAAGCAAACAAGCAAGCAAACAAGCAAGCAAGCAAGCAAGCAAGCAAACAAGCAAACAAGCAAGCAAACAAGCAAGCAAGCAAGCAAACAAGCACACAAACAAGCAAGCAAGCAAGCAAGCAAGCAAGCAAGCAAGCAAGCAAGCAAGCAAGCAAGCAAGCAAGCAAGCAAGCAAGCAAGCAAGCAAGCAAGCAAGCAAGCAAGCAAGCAAGCAAGCAAGCAAGCAAGCAAGCAAGCAAGCAGGCCAACAAACAAACAAACAAACAAACAAACAAATAAGCAAGCAAGCAAGCAAGCAAGCAAGCAAGCAAACAAGACATGTGTCGGCCACTTTCGATCCTCAAAACTTCAATCCAAGGAAGCCTCCCTAATTACAGCTCACAGTGCAAAGGTGCAGCACATCTGCGCAAAGGCTTGCCATGGTGTCTTACATTGCCTTGCTTTCAAAGGCTGCAGAAGTCCATGCAGGTCATCCATTCCGCAGTCGCATTCTGACTGACACATTGCCTTGAGCTGCATGTCGCGCAGCTTCGGGCAGCAACCGAGCCGTGAGATCGACACATCGGAATGCACAGCATCCGCCGCTCAAGGTGCGCCAACAACGATTCAAATGGAACCTGATAGGGAGGACGGAATCAGAATCAATCGGGATCTCTGGCCCCGGCTTTGCGCCACTTGCGGTGGGCCTCCTCACAGGCCAAAGACCTCTTCGCCGTGGGCGTGGTGCACAAAGCACAGCGGCAGCCCTCAAGGCTGGCGTGGTCCAGCTGAGTGTGTCGGTAGCCCTCCAGAAGGAGGATGTAGTTCAATATCTCCCCAGTGGCCACGGACCTGTGCTTCCCCGACTTGCAGTACAGCAGGATGCCGATGGTGCACGGGCCACCGGCCGCGCGAAAGAGACCCGACAGCTGCGAGCGGATGTGGCCGACTAAGTCTTCGAAGAGGTGGTGATGTTGCAGGCGCCGGATGATCTCCGGGTTGCGGCCGTCGTGACCCCGCAGGTCCCCGCACCCGGGGTCCCAGAAGCCCCGCACGTCGACGGCGAAGGTATTCTCTTTCTCCAGCTTGTCCTTGTGCCTCAAGTTGCAGGTGGTCAGAAAGATCTGCACCTGCTCCTTGTCGATGTCCAGAAGCTCCAAGTTCGCGGCACCGTCGCCGTCTCCTTGCTCGGAAGCTTCAGCCGTGGCCAACTCCTCCACCTCCTCTTTTGCGGTTTCCGGACCTTCGTGTGCGCCAGCGGTGTCCTGTTCAGTTTGCAACGCGCGGCCTTGGCTGCGGCTGCGGCTGCGGAGCTTCGGCCCGAAGCGCCGCCACTCGTTGGCCACGCGCCCGTTGCTGCGCCGCCACCGGAGAACATCTTCGGTGCAGTCATCCAGATTCAGCCAGAAGACACTATGCCTGGCCAGCCACTTCAGGCACGCTTGCTCCCGGACCAGCTGGATTCGCCTAGGCGCCTGCCGGAGGTGGGCTTGTATCATCACCTCCAGGCAGCCCGCATTCAAGTTCAGTTCGTAACGCTTGCCGTTGTTCTCCCCCCATTTGGTGCCCACCAGGAAGGTGAAGGGCCCCAAACCTCCGCTATCCATGGCAGGGAAACTCTGCGCAAATGGCTGGCTCATTCGTTCAGAAACGTGTCGAGGGCAGCCAATCTGCTACAAAGGGGAAAAAGCAAGCATGATCATGCATGATCGCATCTCTTGCTTAGCCAAAAAAGCGTGCTGGTCGTGAATCCCTTCAAGAGTCGCAACGCAGTGGCTCGAGCATGTTAAGACTTTCGCGTTGGTCATTCTTCTTCAGATGCTGGCTCCACCGGCCAATGAAAGAAGGACAATGCTGGAGTGAACATGCACCAGGCTACCTATTTGACTCTTCGAATACGTTTCGTAGCAAGGTAAAGTAGCTCTGTCGACAGTGTGACGTGTGTTTGTGAACAAACAATAGGCACAACATGCAGCCACCATGGAAGCATTTTGGAGCACAAGGGTCAACTTTGGAGGCAAACGGCAAACAACCAGCAGTTTCGGACAGCTGCACCAACTAGCACGTTGGATATCTGGCCCGTTGATCTGGCTCATAGCATCAGAATCATTGTTGGAGATGGCAGGGATCCAATATCCAATATCTAACTGACCATCGGGGTTGTTTGACCCAAAGACATCCCCACATCCCACATTCCCAACTTGCGAATTGTCTCCAGGCCGCCTTGGCGCCAGGCAAGCTGCCTGGGGTCTTTGGGTGGTAGGGTACATGAAGCTCCTCTTTGATCAGAGCCTGGTTGAAGAAACATGGCAAGCGAGTTGATAAAGCGCGATGGATCCACGCTCCTTTCTTCCATTGGCTTTTTGAATCAAGGACTAGTCAGTGGACCAGCCAAAGGACAAAGGGTTCAGGAAACTCTCGGACGAAATTCGCACCGACCCCTGAAACCGGCGGAGGCGGGCGTGCGGGTGCGGGTGCCCCGATGCCTAGTCCCTCATAACTAACCCCCACTCAGGCCCACTAAAACCAGCGAAAAGGAACAGCACGCCATGACAGCACACCTTGGAACCCAATCATGGAGCAGCCCCCCTTAGATACCGCTTCACAGGCTGAGCGGCCAACAAACAGCCATTTCTTGGGTTTTGACGTTCTGTCCAAATCTCGGCCCGGAATTATGTCACCGTGGGCAACATGCACGTTGATCCGAGCTTCCGCCAGGCGAAGCATGGGCCGGGCATCCAAGCAGCCACACAGCGCCTACGACCGGGACAAAACCTCATGGGAGCCCAGACGCATAAACTCCCTGGTTGATTCATTCCGTTCCAAACACTCGTCCTAACCACACACCGCTCTGCTTCCCCAAAACCGCACCCCGGCTAACGGTGATGGGAGCTGCCCCTCTCCATTTGATCCGAGATGACAAACTCAGCCACCGGTTCATCCACAATTTTGGGGTCCATCATTTAGAGGCAAACCCAAGTACTGCAAGGGGCAAACCATCATGGTTCGCCTATGGTCACGTAATTTGGCTTGATGGTGCCCCAAATCCCAATCTTAGTTGTTTTGGCCTTCGAAATAGTTTGGGGTGTCCCTACAGGGCCCCCAAGTGGGTGGGTTCTCTGCGGTCTCCCAGTAATCTCTCAGCGAGCAGCGGCAGGTAGCTGCTGGACGGCCTCGGAGAAGCGTCAGAAGGTCGCACAAGTCTTCATTGGAAACCAGCCCAACTGATGGGTGCAAGTGCCAACCTGACAGGGGTACTGGTGAGGTGACAACCCTTTAGTGGACGTATTATTTACACCTTTTGATTTATGTCCACCAGCCATGCTTCACCATTTTTGTCGGTGCTCCTCATTGGAATTCAGAGCCGTAAAACGGCTGGCACGTGCCAATGGCCCGGCTTTGCAACCTGTGCCTCTGCTGACCTGAGAAGAGGACACGTCTCGCAAAGGACATGCCGCATGCAAAATTATTTTTCCTGATGTGTGTGGTGTTGCTTCACTACTAATTATTGCTCACGCAGATCTGCAGTCATGATGGATCAAGATTTTCAAACTCCCATTGCTTGGACTCATGGGCGACATCCCTCATGGCTTCAATATCACACACCCGCTCACAATGCAGACGCCCTTTAACGTCTTCCTCCTCCTCCACTGCCACCACTACTCTGCTTGTTGTCACATGTCTTGCATTGGTTGTGCTTGATTGACAATGAAGCCTTTCTTGAAAAAGCCCATTGAGCAGCTGTGAGCGTCCAAACTTCTTTCTTCCTTTCAGCATTTAAGCACAGAATGGTGTCTGGATCCTCAGCATGACGCACAGTGGGTCAAAGTCTTCCACCCTGAACCATGGTTCCCAGGTGACATCAACAATGAAGAATATTTGATGACGGCGTGGCCTAGTAAATAGTTGGACACTGTTGAATAAAAATCCGAGTGCATTGTTGTGACAATTGTGTTTGACTTCATTTCATTTGCTTGCTTTGTGGTTTAGGTGGGTTTTTGGCTTGCAATTGAAATGACTCCAATTCGTGCCTGACAACAAGACAAAAAGACCCTACAATGCACGCTATTTACAAGGCAGGTACACAAGACTGATCAAGTCTTGCTTCCCATTCTCATCCACGTACCACACGCCCCTGTAAAGGTGAAACTGGTGGCGACAGGGGTAAATCACACACGCCCCCCTCAATGAGGGGCGAGCAACCCTTTTTTTTTTCCGAGGAAGAGGCAATCAAGACGCACAATGATCCTAATACCAACCCGAAGGTCTCGAGCGGCGCGGGGAACGTGAATTCTCACGTTCAAAATTCAGAAGCTCAGGCACTGTTGCCGAATTGAAAAGGCCACGTTGGACAAACACCCAACAGGTGGTCAAAAATAGTGACCCTGTGCAACCTCTAAGGCGGCGCAACATGTCTGGGTTCGAGAAAGCAAAACGGGCCTCTATGTTTGACATCACACTCGCTCGTAGGTGGGCGTAAAAAGCTGCCAAACATCCCCACCCCTGATGGGGGGGGGGAAACCGTGAAAGCCTCCCTCCATGCCTTATTTCCCCGCACAGGGTCCCGTCCATTCATTACTTACTCCCATGTTCGCATGGGTTACCCAAGCAAGAGGTCTTCCAAAAGGAGATGTCTAAAGTGAAATACGTTGACAATAGGAGGTCTACCGAGGTCTTCCAAATAAAGAGTCTTTCCTCATCGGTTTTCTTGATTTCCACGTTGAGACGCTTGCCGATGGCCGGATCTGTCGCTATCTCCCGAGGCGCCCCTCGGCGCCTCGCAGTCCGTCAGCAGCTCCTGCAGCTGCCCCACGCACGCCGCCTGGTGTCCCAGTCGCCCGGGGCCAAGGGCTGAGCATCAGGCATTTACAAGGCTCAACTAGGGGATAAAAACAAAGCATACGGCCCAGAAAAATGCTGAGCCTAGTTTCCAGTAGATGTGAGGAGGAAAATTACGGATATCTATATATATATATATATTATAACTGTATCTCAAACTTGTTTTGAAGTAATTGGCGCAACCGGACTGCGCCAAATAGGTGACCTGTGACCCCCGCGCGAAGGGGCGGGACCATCTGGCTGAGAAGGGTGCTTCATTGGACACTTAAAAGCACAATGTGGAGGCGCGTAGCTATTATGAGGACTCCCGTCTGCTACATTATGTGGTGGAACGACTCTACTACTCTCGTGATGAAGGCGAGATTGACGTATGTCAAATCATCGTGCAGTGAACATCCTTGCATGTTAGAGCTGAACAGTGAACACCAAATACATTAGAGACCCAACAGCCATCCCCCATGCCCCGCAAGTAGCCCAGTGGCACTCTGCCGGGCGGCAGATCAAGCTGTTTCAGAAACGCGTGGTCACAAAGGCGGAGCCAAAATTGGTACAATGACACATGGGCTTGAACCTTCAGTGCTGGATCATCATGTCCACTGTTTTTTGTTTTTTTTATGCCTTCCAACAATTTTGGAAGGTGTTCCCATCGAATTTGTCAGACACATGGGCAACAATGGCTCTGGTGAAGCGATCCCAAATGTTCTTAGGGTGGGGCCAACCCCTCAAAACTCTTGCTCCAACAATCTCCTTTGGGCTTAGGGGGACTAGGGTCTGCTTTTTCCTAGACTCTTCATAGTGTTCGTAACCCTCAGGCAAGATGGAACCTCTACGAGGCCCCTTTGTTTTCAAAGTGACCACTCGCCACTTGCGGAAAAGCGGTGGCCCAAGAAATGCCATGGCTCCATCTTTCGGCCAGGCCTCCAAAGCCGAAGCCGCCTCAGCCGCCTCAGCCGCCGAAGCCGCCGCCAGAGCTTCCAGCAAGGGCCAGGCCCAGCCACTCTTCAGCCAGGCGCGCCAC